AAGGAGATGTGATGATTTAAAAATCAGTATTTTATACATACCACATTTTCAAAATCCATTCATCCATTGGTGGACATGTAGGTTATTTCTTTTTGTTCTTAAGAATAATGATGTGAACATTGGTACACAACTATCTGAGCCCCAAAATTCCAAGATATTTGAGTAGTTATGTGATCTTCAATTAAGAATTTCTCTTGTAATTAAGTCAGTGTGATTTTGAGAATGAAGTACTTGCAATTTACATTCTGCATCAAGAATGGATATTTTATCATTACCAAGCACTTTTTCAAATGAGTATGTCTTTAACACTTTGGGTTTTAAAGAAGGAGAAAGAGTTGCTAGTGAAAAATTAGAAACTTATTCCCACGTGTTTTTCACCTATTGTATTTCCAGTCATGTGCCTCCTGGTTTTCCATTCTCTGCTGTATCTCCTAACTTGAGGGAAAGTTCTAAAGATGCAAACTGTTGTCTCTAGCTGAGCTGGTACTTTCGTTGTGCTTCCAGCAACCACTCAGTTGACTAATACATTTGCTCAGTACCTTTTGCGTAGTGCAGCATGGGTTACAACCAGGAGATCCCATGGTCAGAATGAGTGTCCACAGCATTATTTATGTTTCCATACCATTGGCTCAGATACTCACTGGGCCTCAGACAGTGGCACTGGCCAGGCCCTGAAGGGAGGAAAGGCCAGCCTATATCAGGTATGTATTTCTGCTTCTAGGCGAATGAACTACAGGCCTTTGTGGTCATATTGGAGGCTCAAGACAGTAATTAGCAGGAGTTAGGTCAGATAGAGCAGTGAGAATCTCCACTGGCCCCTGCTGGCATAGTTCCATCTTTGCTACCATGGGCTCTTTGTTCATTTGCTCTCATGACAGCCATGCAGTGTCTGAAGTCAGAGGCTGCCTTATATCCACAACCTATTGTCACATGAAGATATTGTGAGTCTTTTATCTAAAAGAGGGATATCACTTTGTTTAATATAGAACATTGCCCTTTCATTTTCAAACATCAAAGATAATTAAATATTAGATTTGTAGTTGTGTGGCTTGATATCGTGTCTAAGAGGCCCAATTATTTTTAGTTACAATGATTCTCACATATGTGAAAATGGTGTCAAATTTCTCCTCTTTCTTTGCAAAGGGAATAAAAGAAGACTTCTACAGTGATAGTTACAGAAGGAATTGGTAAATGACACGTATAGAGAAGCAGAATGGAAGTAAATTAATAAAAAGTTTATTTTGTCAACAAAAGGTCGATCATGCTAAGAGCAGTGTCAGTGACTGACCCCACTGTCTTGTAGGTTTTTTCTTTTCTTTTCTTTTATGGGGTTTTATAGCCTTCATCTCATTTAGGTGGTTATAATTTAATTTTTTTAGTTTATATTATCTACATATAAATTATAGTAACAAGACAGTTAACTTTAACCCAGACATAACAAATTTTTTGTCGTTAGGGAGTTTACCTTAAGATTTGTCTACCTATCTATTCTAGTGCACAGGAAAGGGGTATTCAAGGTCAGGGATGAGGCCAGATGCCCCATTTCACAGTCAGTGCCTCCAGTGTCTGTTAATTTTGAACTAAACAAAGCAGATTGCTTTTAGAGGCAGCAGAAGTCATTTTATATATTTTTTTAACATTTTGTAGATTTTTAGATTATTTATAACTTTTTTGTATCTTTCTCCCTTTGTTTTTGGTGTAACTGTTTATTTCTCATTGAATTTATACCAATTATAGCTAATGGGTACCTGGGTAAAGGGTACATAGTAAGCTTCATTGGCTCAAAGGGCAGGTTATTTATGATGTCAGTTGTTTGATAAGTCATCATGGTGAGTGGTGTGTAAATGTAGCAATAAGAGGCTAATTTTTGGTCTGTCTGTAGTACCAGTGAATGAGTTTTATCAATTAAACCTATCATATCTATTTTTATATAATTTTTTGGATGTCTTTTTAAGATATTTTTTATTTTCTGAAGCTCAGTTTTTTGGGGGTTTTTTTGTTTGTTTTTTGAAAGGGGGCTCTTTTACCTTTTTAACCTATAGAATCTATCTTTTTAACCTCTGAGGCCCATGTGGAGCAGTTGACTGTTATCTAATATGAACATGAAAAAAATTGTTGTAGCCAGCTTTTTTTTAAGGCCAAGCTATATATAATTTGAGGCTTATATTGTCTCTGTTTATAGTTATCACAATTTTCAGTATTTTTGGTCATAGTAGAACTGTTTAAACCATATTTGATTTTATCTGAACAATATATCTTTTCTGTGTCTGTCCCCCACAGTCAAGTATGGTACCAGGGTTTTTATAATCTTTTTTGGACATGCATCAAAAAGAAGTGTGAGGGGGGCCGGGATTTAGCTCAGTGTTTCCGCCACCTGCCTCACAAGCTCAAGGTCCCAAGTTTGATCCCTGATACCACACACACAAAA